GGCCAATTTTTACTCTTTGCAGCCGTCTCCTGAAGCCTAGTAGAGGCTAAGAAACCACGGCTATCATATCATTGGCCTTAATGGAGTGGTAACAGTGGAAACACATCGTGGATTATCATGCGTAATTAATGGTACCAGCGGGATGATCAGTGTTAATGGGGACTCATGAGCATAGTCACTCCACTGGATATAATCTCACTAATCAGCTGTCTTGGTCCGTCACTCAACATCAGTAACTTGTTTACTTGTGTAAGACAGGGCACCTCTGAAAAGCAGTGTCATCACTGAGTGGGTCACCCCGAAAATAAAATAAATAAATAAAGTAGCTCAAGATCTCTTGATTTCTCAGATTTTTACCCGTGTCCTCTTTTTGTTGTTTTCATTTCGATACCCCTTAGCCGAAAGTAGCTACTCTACCAGGGTTAATACAAACTAAAAACATATATATTATACAACAGATAACATGGTAAAAAAACACCACCAGCACCACCAGCCCCATAGCAGACTAAAAACAAACCGTTGGTACAAAGAGTTTTTTTTTTTAATTCTTATTAAGATTTATTCTTTTTTTCTCAGGCCCAAGACCCTTACTTGGCGAATTCGCCTGCTACTAGCTAAAAGTATAGCACGAATGCAAGCCAATTCATGAATGGCTAGGCAGTACCTGTATAAAAGGACTGATACATGTAGCTTACCGATTCCTGCTCCAAAATCCTCGACGTAAATAATATATATACAATCTAAAAGCGATCCATGAATAAACAATTGACCATTTATACGGATGGTTCATCTGCTGCCATAACATGGCATTGCCACAACTGATCGATGAATGATTACTGTTGCTTTTCCCGCGTATCCCGACTGTCTCTGTAGGATCAGATATCTTGATTGTGCTTGATAGGATGTCATCTCCAATCATGATTTTAAATGTTCTATGATAAAAAAAGAAATGTCTGGATCTATTAGCCTATAGCCTCTTTTAAAACTGCAAGTAATCAACAGAGAAATTTCCTAAAAACGATTTCCAACAGAAGCAGTTATCATTACAATAAAAATTTAAAATAAATGTTTTAGACTGTCTCTCAGCATCAGCAGGTTAGTTGAAGGCTTACTCTCGTAATTTCGAAGAGCTATATGCTACAGGTAGAATAGAGGTTTATGAAAAAGATAATTGCAAACAACATGTTTATAGTGAGTATTTGTGTGGTATCTGCTTTCTATCTGTATAATGCTTTCTTTCTTCGGGTGTCTGAAAAATAGCGCAACGAAAGATAACAACAAATTTACAGGCTCTAATACGCCAACAGCAATCAACGATCATCTCTGGTTGTCACAGGATCTATGGCCAGAAGTGGCGGGTTGTTTCCAATGCATCTTCAGTTCTGCTGCTGAATATTTCAGTACAGAGCAGCCTATGCCAATCACACAATAAGACCAGGCTTACACACGGCAATCTACCAAGCTGAGCTTCATCTACACGGCCAAAAGGACAAGACATTGCTGATTGACAATTTTTCTGCTAGGTCTAAACAAGACAGTGTCTTTGCAAGTTTTGATAGCTGATAGAATATAGTCTTGAGAAAGACTTTCTAAAATAAGGATCCTATTCTATACTTCTTGTGACACCTTATTTAAAAAAAAACGATTTCATAACTATTACTGTAAAATATTCATTCATGGAAAGATCCTAGAGCGTTCGTAGAGCTATCCACGTGCAATTTTTGAGTACATGTTCTCTTTCCATGATAACTTAAAATGTTATATAAAACGTCTGCCTATAAAACTGTTATATAAAACCCACAATACAAAGTTAACTTGACAAGACGTCATACTTAACTTATAACCAATAGCAAAATACGGTAAGGATGACCTAAAAATCCTTTTTCACTCAACTATTCTTAGATCACGGCCTTAGGGAGTAAAATGTTATATAAAACGTCTGCCTTTTTACCAACCCACAATACAAAGTTAACTTGGGAAGACGTCATACTTAAATCATAACCAATAGCAAACCACTGGTATTTGCATAAGTCTCTTCATGATTTAGACAGATGGTAAAAATACCGTAACGATGACCTAAAAATCTTTTTTCACTCAAGAGTTTTTAAGATCACGGCCTTGGGGAGTAAGGGACTGACGTGAAAAGTAGATAATTGGACATTAGAAGTACATAAAATGTAGACCTTGACATTCTTGCAGACATTTTTATTGTGATGTCTTGAACTGGAACATGCCACTTGGGAAGGCTCCTTTATATTTTGAACAATTTCCTTTATTAGTAAAATGTGCTGCATGCCGTAACGTCCGGCCTTCAGAGTAAATCGTCCTCCTTTCTCTTATAATTGTTTGAATGTTTGAAATTTCCGCTACAAGCTGTTCAAGGATTTTTTTCTAAACCGGAACGGAAAGAACATATAGGGCCGCGAACAGTAGGCATGAGAATAAATCAATACAAGTTCCAGACGTCAAATTTTATTTAAATTATAGCTGCCTGTTTAGCTGCCTGTAAGTGTTCTGTCAAAATATAGTTCAATTTCCTCCAGGCGTAGCAGTAGTTATATTTATGAGAATCCCTCTCTTCTGGCCGTCTAAGACATACTATTATAAGTGCAAAACTGTATATAGTAGAGGGGATTCATTCCTCAAGCTAACTAACATCTTGCACACACAGTCGTCCCTCAGTAAGACATCTGGAGCTGCATAGTTCCCGTATAGAACTTTATTCAGCCCGTCACACAAGTGCAAAACTGTAGTCTAGAGTTCAGGAAAAGGATTGGCATTTCAAGGTGTTCAATAATTCCAGTTTCACAGACATCGATTACGTTAATGTTCTTCTAAACCTCTCCCTTTCCCACAGAATAAACATATGGATAGGTCACCGTAGGTTAATTCTTAGAGGAACTCGCCAACGAGTAGAAGGGTATTCCTTTAACATTAGATCGATATTTATCATGAAAATTTTAAGTGGAACAGAATAAGCTAGTAGTGGAGAAGATGGAGAAGCGTTAGAGGTATTATAGACATTTGAGGTCCGGAATTGCAAAGTGACTTTTCAATTTGACAGTGCTTATCTCACACAGTGCGTAGTACGTGAAGAATTTGATGAGTATCTGCACATTGTGTTGACCTCCAGAAGTAAAGGCCAAAACCTTCAAGTTTCAGCTGTGAAGCCTCTGAAGAAACTTTCACATAGAAAAGGATGGGTGACACCACTCCACGTGCTTTTCGTAGAAGTGTCTCGCCATTGTGTTCTTACCAGAAGGAATGACCATTAGTCGATATTTTTTTCAATTCTCCATCTTTGAAGCCATACATATAACGTAAATGGCACTCAAGCACCGAAATTGAGGATGGCACCACCTCACGACACGTATTTTCCTCGAAGTGTCTGCTATTGTATTCTTACTAGAGGCACTGACCATTAGTCGAAAACCTTTCAATTTTCTAGCTCTGAAGTCACATAGAAAGAACACGTGTACGAAGAAATAATACCAACTTACCCTCTTTTCGTCTAAGTGCCTGTCCATCGCGCTATTCCTGCAGATAGACATTAGTCGAAAACCTTTCAATTTTCTAGCTCTGACGTCACATAGAAAGAACACGTGTACGAAGAAATAATACCAACTTACCCTCTTTTCATCTAAATGCCTGTCCATCGCGCTATTCCTGCAGATATAGGTACTGACCATTAGTCGAAAACCTTTCAATTTTCTAGCTCTGACGTCACATAGAAAGAACACGTGTGCAAAGAAACAATACCAACTTACCCTCTTTTCGTCTGAGTGGCTTGCCATTGCGTTATTCCTGCAGATAGGTTTTGGACTAATGGTCAGTACCTCTATCAATTTTCTAGCTCTAAAGTCACATAGAAAGAACACGTGTACGAAGTAATGATACCAGTTCACGTACCTTTCTTCTAAGTGGCTGTCCATTGCGTTATTCCTGAAGATACTGGTCACGGGTCAAAAACCTTTCAGTTCTGTAGTCATGCAGAACGACACGTGAAGTCAGAACATAGAAATGGAAGATGACACTAGTAAGTGTTACTTAGCGGCCATGCACACGAGTGGAAAACGTTTCATACGACCTTAGCCATGCAAGCAGGAATGTGTGAAGCCACGTGCTCACGTGAATGAACTTTTATATGCTCATGTGCCATTTGAACATGAACCAAGGTGCTGGAGATTTGGTACATGGTCCAAATGCTTTCCGATTCCCCACTCAAGAGGAACACGTGAATACGCTGGTGCAATGTGCTCACGTGGATTTCTTATGTTTTTAGAATAACGAAAAGTGCTTCACGATCACGATGTGGGGAAGAGAATCATTAACGCGTTAAGATTTCACTCCTCTACATGTACGTGGGGGCCTCTTGACAAGAGTTCAGAGGCACTTTCACATCTCTTTCTATACAATCACATATTCACTAGCCCTTTATATATACCATCACGGGCCCGATTAGACTCATGCAAAAGTCGTCCAAGCACTGGCACACCAAAAGCTACACATGAAACACCCCCAAAAGCCAGCAAAAGTGTACAAATAGACACGTCATTACAGTTTTAACATTTCGTACAAGCGAAGACGACTTTTCTTGTAGAGCACTTTACACCTTGTGATTCGTTCGTCAGTGCACGTAGAAACTACCGTACTTAGAAGAGTACCAATATGAATCAGTCTGATTAAAATGGGAGCTCACTTGAAGGAATTTTCACAGTTCTTTCGCACTCAGGCATTAAAACATCATTGTTAACTATTGCTTATATAAGGTCACCTGCATTGGTAGAAAACATGTAATGCAAATATGTACCGTTCTTATGAATGTTGTACCGCAGGGGATACCTTTAAGCACTGATCAAACACTTGTATTTAATAGAGAATCACTTTGGCCGTGACCAGTCAATTATCGTACTACAGCTCTTAAGTATGTCACGCTTGTTAAACCCCTGTGTAGTCAGGAGATGTTTTTTCTTACCGTGAATTGTATCTCTCGTCCGCAGTCATCCGCTAAACAGCTGGCAGGAGCTTACGATCTCCTCTCCAAGCTGGGCCAGGCGTTCCGCAGCGAGCTAGAAACGGTAAGCAGCTTTTGCTTTCTAAAATTCATTCAAAGATTGCCCAACTACCCAAAAGGGCGTTGTTAAAGCTTAGTGTTAGAGTTTAGAGCGTACTCGTACCTTTATGCTTTTGCATTCTTCGTTTCAAACTGGTTTAACCAAGACCGTCCGACTACCACTGCACGAAAAGCAGCTTTTGCTTTCGTCGTATCAAAGTGGGTTTTCACCAAGACCTCCAAACTACTCAAGGACATTGTTAGTTAGTTAAAGCTTATGTTTTTAGTTTAGAGCGTACTCTTACTTTTATACAGTCTGTAGTGATCACTCCATAAAATGTTTCATTTTTTGCCAAATGTGTACTTTTTACCATGATGTTATCTGTTGTATGTACTTTGTTTTTTTAAATTTTTGTATGAGCCCTGGGAGAACTAGACAAAGACTCAGATCTGGATCCAGGGAGTTGGTCACAGAAAATGGTTTGACTCAATGCTGTATAACGTGCCCAAGGCTTGGTTTGGCTGAGTTTTGTCCATACCAGACTAATAAAGTTGAATGAAATAACACTCAATCCAACAGCAAAGTTGAACTCTTCTCTTTGAACAATGCATTGAAAACCGACCATCTCCGAGAAGGAAGAATTGATATTTGACAACTACTGTATCATATTCCACTAGAAAATGTTTTTGATGTAGAGAGCTATCTGTAAATACCAACGGCTAATATTTTATGAGACCTCATCAAAGACGTCGATTCTACTTCAAAGAAATCCCACGCACCCGCCTAGAAATATCTGTTTATTCTACAGCCTTTTATACACAGATAAACTCCCCGGTTTACACCCTAACATTAACACTTGCCTACACTTCTACATGAAAGGAAACCTCGTCACCTATCCAGGAACAGCACGTCCAGAAAACATGTCTGTCATGTTGTCCTTTTCCACACGCAGCGCGTCTGATCCTCCGCGCTTGCCTCAGGCAGTCCGGCTGGGTGTTGTTGCAAGTACCGAGATGTTTGCGGCAACAGTTTAGGCCACATTAATTTGATTTTATGGTTGACTGTTCTCATCCAAGAAGAAAAAAAGACTAGTATATGGTGACAGGAGCAGAGCATACCATGAAATTCCAACATGAAATACCAGTCACCATGGTAACAGACGTCAACAAATCATGTCATTGATCGGGTCATAGGTCACTGTTTGGAGAAGAAGAAGAAATTGAGGAAAAACAATATGTTTTCCGTCGGTAAACATAAAAATCACCTCCTCCTAGGCTCTGGCCTGGGTGCAATATGCATCCTCCGTAGGCCATTGTACGTAGCTAGCGACAATATGGAGGCGGCGGTAACGACGGAGGACGGCACACAGGCTGCAGAAGCTCCATGGAACTCAAGAACCCAGTGGAGTGCCGACTCATAAATGCCGCAAAAGGCCAACATGTGCCGGCTTGACGTAAATGTCACTATGTACTACCGCAAACTTACAGTACCAGCTTTGCATTCCTGTGGTTAAGCAGCTTTTTTTTTATTGGAATTTTTTTTATCCCCGCACGCACTATACTAGTAGTTGGGGGTCTTCAGATGATGTCATCCATAAATTTAAGCCAGTGTGGCCTTAGCTGCTGAGACCTGTAGATACGTTAGCTCAGTTGCCCCATGGGTGTGATCACAAGTGCACTCTGGTGTGACTAAGGCTTGCGGACATCTGGTTTATAATCACAGGATTGGGAGCTGGGGTTGTTTATGAAGGTTAACACCGGTAATGCCCGGTGGGATCCGTCGTGTCAGGTCGCCTGATGATAGACCGGTGCACTCACGTTCTCCGTAAAGGAAAGAAGGTCTGTGTATATGGAAGGTGATCATGTTGTACGCAGCTTTTGGGCTCACGCCAAAAGCCTGTGAGGTGGGGAGAGATGGCAGGGGGATTGGGAGTTCGCAGGAGATGTACTCAGGGTCCCTTGACTTGTGGGCTTCTTCTGGTTTCCTAAGTAATTTATCAGTGCACAATGTACAACATGTACAACATTGAAACAAAGTTAAACCGCACTATCGAAGTAAAAAAAAAAGAAATTAAAGGATTTGTAGCAACACAGAAACATTCAAGCTGCGTTTATAAGTTGAAGTAAAATGTCAAAATACTCAACACAAGCAAGAGCAAAAATTGGATATAAAAATTGAATGTTTTGGAAAAACTTTCAAGCTTTGTTTTTTGTACGTCGATGAAGGTTAGATATCCAGGTAATAAGATACGCCAAAAAGCAGTTACTGAAGCAACTGGATGTGAATTTGGAAAATTTGGATTTTGCTTTTTGGCGTATGTAAGTTATAGCCATATCGATCTGTAACTTCCTAAGCTTGAATTCTGAGCAACCGTAAAACTCATTAGACTGAGACTGTCTGCAATCACAGAGGGTAATGATAAGTCACCAGGCGCCCAGTCACCCGTGAGTGCACTACACTCGGAGTTTCAACAGGTTTTATTACGTCTTCATTAGCGACCAATGAAATTTTGGAGTCCAAACATGTACAATAATACTTGGAAAAGAACAAGAAATAGCATTCGGCTCAGAACCAAGAGGTCCCGGGTTCGAATCCTGAGAAAGGCATTTTACCAAAGGCACTCACTTCGCTCAGGTGAAAATGAGTATACCAGAATGATCATCTTGATCGTGGGCATTAAAGTGCAAAAGTTATCAACCAAGAGGAACTCGTTGTCACCAAGTACAGTAGGGGAATTGTCATTAGATCATTTTAAACAATGTTTAGAGTTAGATGTTCAAAGGCTAGGTACCGGTGTAACAAGTCGTTAGGTGTAATGTAGCCGGCTGCCACCGCATGCCTGCGAAGCTGGTGTGTTAGACGAATGGTGGTTATACCAGCCATGCAGATGCAGATACAGACAGATACAGAATATTGCAGGCAGTTAAAAAAGATTCTCACAGCAAAGACTATTAAATGTTTCTAAAGAAATCCTAACCACGGGCGTGTGAAATTCCCAGTACAATAAAAAATGTGTTCAATAAAATATTGCCTAAAACATAAGCTTAAAATTCCGTACTCCACCCATCAATGGTTTATGTCTTAAGCCTTCAACGAAAAGAAGTCTCCAAATTATTCCCCGAGAAACCATCAGATTCAAGACAATGCGTGGGTATTCCTTCATATCTAATCCGAACCAGCCGTTGTCTTGTGGGTCCAAGTGCGATGTACGTCACGGTTTGGCACGTTTGATTCGGTTTGTTCCCAGTTGAACTTGTTATGTTATGAGCAGAAAATGCGTAACAACAGTGTAGGCCATGAATACATCAATATTGTTCACTACAATTGTAATAGTAAGAATTAACCCAACATACACACACAAAAGAAATAAATCTGTAGCATCGTTTTGAAAATCATATTCGATTGCATTTTACCGTGGCTCATTAAATGATGACAACTGTTAATTAATAATCATTTATAAACTGAATAGCCTCACAATTTAGCCCTCCAACACGGCTGCCAGGAGACATGTATATCTTTTCTGCTGATAAGAACTATAATTATTAATTTTGAAACCAATGTACCAGCTGTTGTGCTAGTTCGTGCTCATAAACTTACATTTCTTCTCTGATCTCTTAGAGTCACTGACCAAAGGTAGTGGATACTACCTAAAACGTCTGACCGTTTCCAAAATCATATCCAGTTGCTTTAGGAAGTGCTTTTTGGCAGTCTACCTATCTACCTAAACTCTCCGACCAGTTATGGTTAAAAGTTTTAACCAAGTTAACTTTATTTTTTGGACCAGTTCCAAGTCGTTCAAGGTTCACCCTAAAGTTCACATGTAGGCGACAATAGCTTCCATTACTACCGGGGGACCTCCTAAGAGCCCTCTAGAAACGTCTGCTATCTGTACCCGAGCAAACTCCCGCCAGAGAAGAGCTCCGTGGCGTTTGCGTAATCACCACTGTCGCCTGCTAGAATGACTCCCATGTGATACAACCATATTTGCCTGGGCAGACTTTTTGGGGGCGTCATTAGCTAATATGTGCTATTTAGAGCAGACCTGAAGACCCTGGATGGATTTGGATTTAGTTTGAGTCCACAATTAGCCTCATAAGGAGCTATTCTTCTTGTTTTCTACAGGTTATATACATATTACGTACATATAAAAAGTTAACAGTATGGAGCAATAATGACACAATTCCTTGAATACACTAATTACAGTCCAATATCTTGCTAGTTGTCGCCTGTGTTGTTCCACAATTAATGGTTAAACACGAATGGTTACGTCTGTTTGACAATAAGGATTTGTATGTGTTTAATTTGTTAAAATACGTCCTCGCATGAACTCCCATATCTTGTACTGTATGCACCAGACCCATTCCTAAGAAATTAGCATGCTACAGTTGAATGGGCCGTCCTACCGCCCTTAGAGTTAATTGCATAGCAAGAGAAATATCCTACCTATTTTTGCTGGTAGGTATTCAAAATGTAAGACATCGAGCACATAGTTTTCACCATACTAATGATGCCATGGTGGAGAAACAGGGAATCGGCATGAAAGTTCATCTGAGTTGGTAAATTACATTATGAAAAGTATTAAACTGTTCTCCAACTCATAAATTTGACTCATCGGAATTTTTGACTGAATCACTCAGTCTTCCTCAGCTATCTGACCCGAACAGAAAAACAGGGAAGGTAGGGATAAAAATTACAAGATAAAAAATACGGATAAGCAATTAAAGACAGTTTAAACAAAGATATGTTGAGACGTGATAGTCTTACAGTAGCTTACAACGACAGCCAAGAGAAACAATAAGTATGCTTCTGGTAGAAATCACTGCTGGCTATATATTAAGAAACTTAGAGAATCTCTTAATATGAATCTTTATGCATGTTCTTGCCCAGATGGGCTGAATGCATAAATGTGACCAAATGTGGTCGAGAGCATTAAAAAACCACGAGTATTGCATACTGGAACGCTATAATCTAATGCTAGGAGTAGTGTTATATATTACAATACTGTATAATTACTTCGTCATGTT